AGTGAGTCGAAACGTACAATGTTTTTTGGATTTATGGAATAAAGAAAGATTTTTTGAGAGATTAAATTCTGCGTACCGACTATCACGCTGACTCTCATTCGTTCTGGGTTTTCGGATCAATTTTTTATGTTAGAAAAAAAATTACGCCTTCCTAATGACAAAAAAGTCTTTCGAATTTTTCGAAATCCGCATAGGTCGAAAATTTTTTTCGAAAATTGGTCGTTCTGATAGAAAGAGTTCTATCGATTAGCCTACATGAATCGAAATACTAAAATAAATGATGAAGTTATAGCCCTTCAAAGTTTCGGATTCGTGAAGTTAGCCCCCCGATACTTCAAACGGCGTTTTCACCGCTTTAATCAACGGGATTCTTTTTAAAACCGATAGAGAACTCTAGAAGTCTTTGGGGGAGGGAGAGGGGCAACCAGAACTCTGCTTATTTTTTTCCAAATTTTGAATAAGTGGAATCAACTTCACAGATGTACGAAATAGAGACGCAAGGATTAATAAATTGTACTGACATAAAAAAGTTTAATATTTATTATTAAAAGATTTTATCTAAATACATCGTTAAAGATTTATCGAGCAAACCCTAAAAATTCTCACTGTCTGTCTTTATTTTTTTACCATCCGGGAAACAGAATTCGAAATATATTGGAAAGATTGCGCCTACATTATTTATATCATTGACATAAATATCAATTCCGGCATCGTTTCGGGCAGTAGTATTTTATTTTTAAGTTATCTTTTTAAAATATAGAAATGAAATATAGAGTAAAAGCACTAGATGTGGATCAGGCACCAGTTCCAGATCATTTTATATTTAAATAATCATAGTATTTTCCATTAAATGGTACATATCATAAGATTCTTTAGCATTTGTTTTATCTCTTTCAAGTGTCAATTGATTTCAATTTATTAGGAAGCGCTACACATTTTATTGATATCGTTAACTAATTAAATGTGCGAGGTTAACGTATGTATCTTTCAAAATTCATTCAAATATCATAAGAATTGCCTTATGGTTTTTATAGTAAATAGTAAATAGCATTAGATTTCATGGAAAGAAATCAACGTTATGCTCAGTTGAGATTAAATGTGCCCGCGGGTGATTGTTTAATCAATGTTATAACAATACTTTTATTGCGTAAATTTATTATAAAAATGTTTAAAAACTTGTCAAATCTTACAAATGATGCCGTCCCGAAAAGATTTATTTGTTTTAAGTGTATCGAAATAGTATACATGTCTATATGCAAAAAGTGTTATCATTCATAATTTAATGTTTTTGTAGCTAAACGTTTAATTTTCATTAATTTTTGTAATTTTAATTTTTCATTGATTTTTAATTGTTAATAATTGTAAATAACCTTGAATGTAAAATTGCATTATGATCCACAATTAGATCCTAAAACTAGATGGTGGATCATTAATTATAATTTCATTATATATATTACGATATGCATGCGCAAATCATTTTTATTATTCTTATGGGATATAGTAAAGCCATCAAAATGGATAAAGCATTTGGTGAATTGATTCGCAATTAGTACATGGGTCTTAATTGTGGATAATTATCATTACTTTATTTAATTCAAATTAAAACACATAAAACAGTAATGAAATGAAATAAAATCATCCATAATGTAAATCTTTATAATCAATGATAACTATTAAACTATTTTATTAGTTGTTTGATGTTCTGGATAAAAAAAATATGAATTTTTTTTTTAAAGGGTGATCCACAATTAGCGTTTTTACTCTATATCCATGTAAAATGTATATGTACATTATTAAATATTTATGGATTTCCTGACGTATTATTCAACTTTATAATACCAATACACATACATACATATATGTATAAACTTCTAAATTCCTTTGTGACAGCTTATCGAGATACAAAGCTTAATAAATTTTGCTGATATAAAAAGATCAACGATGATGATCGAAGATACTCGAATGCATCGTTAACGAATGAAAAGAGACGAGATGAATCTTAAATTTCTCTACCGTTAATTTCTTTTACGTTCAAGGATGACAGATATCGCACGGGATACACAAACAAGTTTCATATTTTGAAATTCTCGACAAATTAGAAAAAAATTGGATTAGAAAGAATTTGGGTTACAACACAGAGAAAAGTATTTGGATATTTGTGACTATAATTGCAAAATAAAATAATCATAGTTAAAGTTCTGTTTTTATAATTATTATTGCTACAATGTTAGTAATAATAATTATATTTATAATTCTATAAATAAAATGTATACATATAATTGGCTAAAATGATTACTAAAAATGACTATGAATAGTATTAATCATGCCATAAAAATGGAGCACTTAACTAAATTATTTTTTCATGTAATTATAAAAGGTTTGTTTGCGTTGCTATTTATGACTACAAATAGCATATAATAAAGTATGTAATAAAGTAATTATGATTAAAGCTCTGTTTTCATACACGGAAAGAAATCTGTTACGATTTTGGCACGGACAGTCGATACTACTATCGCGTGGCCTATTTCAATGCGCTAATAGTGCCATCGTTCGATCTGTTTATGCATGAAGTCATGTAACCATGGCACGAGAAATCTCTATGAAAAAAAAAGAATGAGATGCGCTCTATGGTCCTACCAGCTTTTTGCGATAGCCGCACGAGCGCAGTACGCATAAAGCACCATACTTCATCATGCGAAATTCGCTCGAAACCCGTGCGATTTTGGCATAGCTTGTCGGTTTGACAGTCATATTTCTAAACTACGCCTTCTATAATACATTGTGTGTTAAAAATTAAACATTTATGTGAAAAATGTTGCAGCAGTAGTAAATGTATTAATGCAACTATTTGATGATTTATTTAAATTATAGAATTTGTTTACTGAGTAATTTTTTAATTATCACATTCTTACAGAAGATTACAAAGATCCTGATGGAAAAATTTTACTGAAATTTGTGTGACATTTCACCGAAATTGTTGTAAGTTTTGAAACACATTTCAGTGAAATTTCAAATATACGTAATTTCAAAAATACGTATAATGTAATACTTATGAAGTAATATGATAAAGTAAAATGATTTATATATAAATAAATTTTATTATTAACAGACTGTGTAACTTGTTTATTTTTATTTCTATTATTACTTTATCATATTACTTTATAAGTATTACATTATACATATTATTGAAATTACGTATTTGAAATTTCACTGAAATGTGTTTCAAAACTTACAACAATTTCGGTGAAATGTCACACAAATTTCAGCAAAATTTTTCCACCAAGGTCTTTATAATCTTCTGTAAGAATGTAATGATTAAAAAATTACTCAGGAAACAAATTCTATAATTTAAATAAATCATCAAATACTTGCATTAATACATTTACTACTGCTGCAACATTTTTCACATAAATGTTTAATTTTTAACACACAATGCATTATAGAAGGCGTGGTTTAGAAATTTGACTATCAAATCGATAAGCCATGCCAAAATCGCACGGGTTTCGAGCGAATTTCGCAGGTGAAGTGGGGTGCTTTATGCGTACTGCGCTCGTGCGGCTACCGTAAAAAGCTCGTACGACCGTAGCGAGCATCTCATTCTTTCTTTTCATAGAGATTTCTCGTGCCATGATTGCATGACTTCATGCATAAACAGATTGAACGATGGCGCTATTAGCGCATTGAAATAAGCCACGCGATAGTAGTATTGACTGTCCGTGCCAAAATCGTAAAGGCCATGGCACATAAAAAAACTTAAAGCGTAAAGGTCTTGGCACATAAAAAAACTTAAAACGTAAGATTTCAGTAGTAACGAAATCAACATGTTGGATTCGCTATTGCTTACGTATGGTCTTACGGTCTCTATTGTGATTGGTCGATTCGCTTACTGCTTAAGTCTTACGCCTTAATTTTTTTTGTGTGCCATGGCCTTAAGACTTAAGCAGTAAGTGAATCGACCAATCACAATAGAGACCGTAAGATCATACGTAAGCAATAGTGAATCCAACATGTTGATTTCCTTACTGCTTAAGTCTTATGTCTTAAGTTTTTCTATGTGCCAAGGCCTTAACAGATTTCTTTCTGTGTAGTTACTGTCGCTACAATGTTGATAATAATAACAATATTTATAATTCTATAAACAAAAAAAATATATATAATATAGTTGCCATCCAACAATGACTGTGAATAGTATGAATCATGTTACAAAAATGAAGCATTTAATTATAATTATTTTACTGTGTAATTCTATGAGATTTGTTTGCATTGCCATTTGACTATAATTGTTAATAACACCACATACAAAATAACAACTATATAATATACAAAAAATATATATAGTTGACACCCGTGAAAACGAATAGTATGAAGTATGAATCATGCTATAAAAATGGAGCACCCTGCACCTAACCAAATTATTTTATCATACAATTACAAGAGGTTTCGTAGAGGTTCGCGTAGCTTGAAATCTCCAAAAGGCAACAGTGTTTGCACTTAAAACGAAATAAATATATATTCGCGTGTTAAAGAGAAAGAAATCGAAGATTCCGAATGTAAAAAGTGCAAGCAACGCGGACAGACCCAAGTATAGTCACACAAATACCACAAACACTTTTCTCTCAACAGTCCATTGGTTAGAAAGAGAGAACGATGAACGATATGCCGTAAAACGATATGTCGTAAAAAATGGTATGTCAGGTGAAACGTTTATCGTCAACCGGAAGAAAGTTGATCCTCGACAACGAGGAGGACAAGCGTGACTCGCGAGGACGAGGTCGGATTCCTCGTATCCCCGTGCACCATCAGTTACCTCTGGGCGTTCCTGATGCTTCTCTCAGGTCGCTCAGGGTCTCTCTCTCCACAGTTCACAGGGCGGATCGATCGCAGGTGCGTCACTTAACCTCAAAGTAACGCCGGTACACGCGCGCGTGCACGCTCCTCGATCACGCGGTCCCGCCCCGGCGCGGCGTCGCGGATAACGCGATCGCGCGGGTTACACCCACCTGCTATTACACGTCTCTTTCTTCTCCCCGGTGCGATGGTCCTCCCGTACCTGTCCACTCGTATCCGTTGCTGTCACCGAGCACCCTTTATCAGACGAGCACCACGTAACCGGCAGCAGCTCGTCGATGACTACGTGATCTAACAGTAACAGTAGCAGTAGCAATAACGGCAGCACCCCGCGTTCCTCGTCGTCGTCGTCGTCGTCGGTGTCTCTCCTTCTGTCACCTAACCGCGCACATAAACGCATACACGGCACGCGAAGCACCACCTTCCGCGCTGGAGTACGGTAAGCGCGGAGGCAACAACCTCGGCGATTCTTCCGTGATCGTCGTTATTTCCCCTTGGTGCCGGCGGTCGGTCGGGTTCCTTCCCGCGCAGCGGCCGCGACCTCGTGAAGTGTGCCGCGTACGAGGAAAAGCAAGTGAACGACGAGATTACAAGCTTTTAAGCCGTCGCCTCTGGCCGCGGCTCGGTAAACTCGAGTAACGACTGCTCGCCGTCGGCGTCGGTCGCAAGTTTTCTTCAGTCCGTCAGGCGGGCGGCACGCGTCGGTCTTCCTCCTCTTCTAACGTCGCCCGGCGGTGGATGCACGAAAGGGGGAGGCGAAGCGGAAGAAGAGGGACGACGGAGACGAAAGGAGAGACAAGAGAGGGAGGAAGGGAGAGAGAGAGAGAGAGAGAGAGGAGAGAGGACTGGCGCCGTTACTAAGCTCACACGCGGTCACGCTCGAGCGACGACCGTCCCCGCCTTTTAGCACCGACGCTGCCGTCGTCCGCTGCCGCCGACGAGTCTCACGTCTGTGCCGCTCGCTCGCCCGCTAACCAGGCGAACGTAGTCGATCGCGCTTTCCTCCCCGACCGCCAACCGCGTCCTGCCTACCTAGTTCTACTCTACCACCGCACTCCTTCCGTCTCCCTTCGGTACCGGCGCAATCCCGTCATTCCCGTCTTCTCTTCTGCTCTCCCCTGTGTTACCTCCTCCCTTCCGCTACCTACGCGCACTTCCGCACCGGCTTCTTTCTTTCTCTTTCTTTCTTTCTTCCTTTTACCGGCGAGTTACTCCCTTTTTTTCCTCTCTTTTCCCGCTGTACGAGATTACGCGACGGTGTTCGTTCGAAAGCGCTTCGCGCTTAAATCTCGCGTGGCTGTTCTTTATTTAATTGATAATCGCGCTGGGTAGATAATCACGTAGACGGAAATGACAGAAACGGCGGAATGAACAGATGTCATGGGCGCGAGAGCAATGTGGCAACCTTGGCAGCCGGTAGGTCGCGACGACTGGCCTCATCGCAAATTTGGTGCCATCTTGCGGCACGACGTCCAACCGTCATTTTGTCATGGCTTGTAGCATCCCGTATGGTGTAACGTCAAGTGTGAAATTTGCTTAATCCAGGAGGCCAAAAGCGTCTTATTTATCTTGCATCTAATTATAATTAATTTCGAAAGACTCAATTTATTTCTTCTGCAGTTGAGACTTCGCTTATGTTATAATTTTGTTTCCTAACGGAAATTAATATTCTCTTAAGAAACTTTTTTCCGTATATAGGCTGGAAAACGGAAGTATTTTATCTGTTTGAACGTAAATACGTATGATAAATTTTCATTTTATATGATGATTATTCTAATTTATGAATTATTATCTTATGAATATTTTATAATTCCTATAAAATGATATATTATTATTGTTTTAATGATTTGTTATTTCGTATTTTTTTAGCTCTAAAGGAAACTTTTGAACTTAATATATGAATATTGATAACTGTTTTTATGCAGCCACAATCCTTACGGAAAAATATTATTGGATTAATGGAAAACTATTGGAACGATCAATAGTATACGATAGTCAATATTCGATTTGAATAATTTTAAAATTATTTTCAATTGATTTTTGTGATCCCAATAATATGTTTTCATATTAGAGAGGACTGATCTAAATATCTAATAATGTAAAACAATATAATTAATTTTAAAAGAAAAAAGAGAATGTTGATCCGATGTTTTGCATGGAGAGCGTTAATAGCACAGATTTTTGTGATTTTTTTCTTCGTATTATATTACAACATACACGATCCTATATGCTATACATATATTAATTACATTATTATAATTTATTCAACATTTTGCAACTTTACACAAAAAGTATATTATGAGGAAAAATCAGTAAACAGGACATACCGGTACGTTTGTGCATCAAGCGAAACCGTTTTTTCGATTTTTTTTTTCTCATTAAATCATTGCATCACATGAAGTGCATAGAAAATTGCTTTTTTTTATCATGACGATCATGATTTATCATCATCAAGTTACTGCAAGTTTAGGAATTTATCTCAGTAGTATTTTAGGATTGCAAGTTCTTATTTCACAAACATCCAAACCTTGATAAATTTAAATTGCAAATAGACTTAACATACACGCTTTAATGTACCTAAGCAGAACAAAATGTTATAATGACATCAAAATGACATCAAAATGATTCTAAAATTATTATTAAAAGTCATTTTTCGATTAGTCATAATTTATTTTAATATCATTTTGATGATATTGTAACATGTTGTTTTGTGTTTGAATAATAAATGTCTTCCTCTCTTATATAAGCTATAATTTAGCAAAAATTTTATTAATTTCGATGTTTTATATATCCGATCGTAAACAACAGCATTTATGATCGGATATAATATGCATAAAACATCGAAATTAATAAAATTTTTCTTTCTCCTGCATAAAAATCTCTATCGTGCATTATTTATCTATACCCAGAGAAAAACATACTTAAAATTTGTTTGAGAAATATATTTATTATTATATATTTTGTACATTTACATTTTTATTATACATTTTTACTGAATTAAATATTTAAATACAGCAAAATAAAATTGTGTTCTTAGTACAATTTTAGTCATCTATTAGTCATCTATTAGCACAATATAAATTATCTATTTTACCTTTTTACAGTTAGTGAGATATATGTATTTCACAGAAATGTATATTTCGTTATCATAGTCAAATTTTTTCATAACTAATAAATATCGAAGGAAATGTATGTCATAAGTAACATTTGCCTCGCAATATAGTTCGACATTTTTCTCTCAGTAACATGATGTACAGGATGGTTCTCATTAATCATGTATGATCTATGTAACATGATATACAGGTTCTGTTTATAAGAGTATTAAAGTATGATTATCAACAAATTAATAATTAATGAGATATTTAATATTTTATTCAATATATACATACCAGCATAAAGTATAAAATATCTCTTAAACTATTGATTTTTTCATATCTGTACCTTAATACTTTTATATGCAGAATAATTAGAAGAATCATATTATGTAAAAAATCATATAATTCAATTTAAAAAAGTGGAGATGACCTTCGTATTTTTTTGGTTTCTCCACCTAGAAAAAAAAAGTAACAAATATGTTCCCCTCAAAACTGTTCCACTCTCGTCTGAAATTTGCTTTTTCTATTTTCTATAGTTTTCGAGTTATTGGCTTGTCACACTTTTCGTAAGCCACCCTGTATATATACATAGTTATATCTGCAGAATATAATTAAGTTTTATTGTAAATTAATTATAAACGGAAAAGGACATGAACAAATAAATTACAATTTTATTTTGTTTTAAAATAACTAGTTTATACGTAACTAGCTACTAACCTTCGGCTGACAGTAGTAGGAAGTAAAAAATCAACAAAACTGGCAATAGAAATTAACAGCGAATATACATTAATAAAATAATGTATACCTATTTGTTTGCCCGCGTAATTATGGATCTTGAATGAGTGAACTTTATCTCGTTAAATACTTAACTTAATCTTGAGTGAGCGAACTTTACTCGTTAAATGCAGTTTAAAGTAAATTTAATCGTTTACAATTCATGATATGATATTTTCGCACGAGAAGTGTTGTCTGTATTTAATCTTCAAATTGCGCAATTGAAATAGCGCATTTAATTTTATGTAGCGGCAAAAGTCAGTAGTCAAAAAGATTAATTCGCGCGAAATAAACGGTTTTGCTGCACTGACAAATATACTAAATTTTAATAAATATTTGTTTGAATAGTACTAACTAAAGATAAGAGAGAAGACGAAGGGGATCCTAAAGTAAAACTCAAATTCCGTCGTATAAAAATCTCTGAATTGACTAAACGAAATTAAAAATCCTTTTATAGAATTAAAGTAGATACAAAATTAGGAGGTGGACTTTATACTAAAATCGAAAACGTTAAAAATGTATTTTTTTTTATTTTAGTATAAAGACCACTGTACCACCTGCTAATTTTTGCGTCTACTTTAAAACGCTTAAATTGATTACTGAAATGTTGAAACTTTTTGTAGTATTGTTATCAACGTTTAGTGTTCTACGTAAATTATTTTGATGGTTCAACAAAATTATTTTTAGATCTAGCTAAATTTTTAAATGCTTCAATAAAATTGTTTTTCCTGTACGTTTAACGTATCGAGTCGGCTATATATTTCCCTCGCAAATCCAGCTTTGTATACGCCGCGCCGTGATTTCTTTTCTATTGGCGAGAAGTACGCAAGTTCGCCACGTCAAGTTCGTCGCGGGAGAGAAGAAAGTGAGTAAATGGACCGGAATGGGAGTGATTCCGGTTATCTTTGGAAAAAGTAGTAGAGTTGCCGTCACATGTAACAGTCTGCAAAAAGTTACGCAAGTCACGATGCGTGCAGTCGTTGGTGTAAATCGACGACGGTTATAGCGGCGGCGATCAGCGAAAGCGATCCGTTGCCCATTGGTCTCCTTCTAACAGTAAACGGGATGCTGGCCGTTCGTGCGTTGTTCCAACGGAACTCGATTTTCCTCACAGCCTTAGAACGGCGATTTTTCATCCCGATTCTCGTATCTCGTGATTACGAGATTTGATCCGGCCAGTCCTTTTCCTTCTTCTTTGGAATGTAAACACATTTCTTCTTGTTTTATTTTCTGCAACATTCTCTCATAATGAACTATTCGATATCGTAATATTTCTAATGTACACAGAAAAAACAGTTTTGCTATATCTATGCATTTAACTAGATGTAGATCCAAACAATAACTTTTTTAACGATATTTAATATTTTTTTATAAAAAAGTCAATTAGCAATGTGCGCAATTGGAGCTTTCCCTGATGTTACCTGTGATGTTTTACTATGAAAACAGAAAAGTAATTGAAAAGTAACTGAAAGTAATTGAAAGTTACTTAGGGTAAATAAGGACCTTTTCTCGTACATATATGAAAGTTACTTTTTGAATAATTGTATAAACTGTAATGAATTATTTTTCAGAGTAATCTGTAACGATAACTAACCCGCGCCCGATAGCTCTAAGAAAAATCGTAAATCACATCACTCACATGATACTGCAACATAATAATTAATCTCTAAATGAAGGAAAAGGCAGTTTTTTGGGATCTAAATAGAGGCTCACGGAAGCGTACTAACAATAATAATAATAATAATATACTCGGGAGGCAGTCCCCGTTGGGGTCCACCAACAACACGCAGACAAGGTCCATTGTGTCTTTCCAGCCATACTAATTCCGGGTCAAACCTATTTTCCTCCAGAAATGAAGGAGGTCCTTGATTTGGAGTTGACATACCTGCTTGGGCTCGAGAAATACCGAGCCCAACAGAAGCCGCCTGTGTCCAGCTGGAAGCGTACTAGTTAAAAAAAAAAACTGTTGACAACAGAGCAGTTCCTCCGTATACCTCACGATCAGTTCGGTTCAATTAGATGAAGAATTCGGTTTGGTGCTTAGTTAACCATTCAACCTTGTAAGAAGTGACTGATCTTCGGGAGGTCACTCATTTAGATTTAGACCCACCTAGATAGACTAACTCTTCAGGAGCTCCAGCCCTTCCTCATTTTCGGGAGTCTACTCCAATTCACATCAGTTGGAAATTCCACACATGTCAAATTCACATGTATGCAATCCTCCACCATTCCACATACAGATCGCCGCCTCTGGGCATGCATACGTGCGTGTGCGCACGTACATATACATTTTATTTATAACAATAAATTACACTGTGTATTGATAGTCACAAACTAGAAATTATGAACATAATGACTTCAGTGTCAGAGAGGTGGGAAATTTATTATTTTAGAAAAACTGTGTATTTGAATCTTAAACCCTTTATAAAATGTAAAAAAATACAATATTCAAATTTAAAAGAATGCACTTTATAGTGGATGAACAATATACATTCATGACTTCTGATCAGAATTTCAAGATAACGTTAAC